AAAATACGCTCGGGAAAATTTTATGCGAATTTCATTAATCTTTTTAAAAAAATACTCCGGTTATATATTGATCTCATTAAGTTGAGTCGACTGCATGAATATTTAAATAGCTTCTGGAGTTATTGCTTATGACTATCAATAAATTGCTTGAATCTTTAAAATGAGTTGCAAATAGAAACAAGGATACCCTAGTCGATCAAGGTAGGTTATCTTGCAAGATCTTGCAAGATTCTTGCAAAAGAGGGTTATCTTGCAAGATCTTGCAAGATGGAGGTTATCTTGCAAGATCTTGCAAGATGGAGGTTATCTTGCAAGAATCTTGAAAGAGGGAGGCTATCTTGCAAGAATCTTGCAAGATAACCATCCCAAAATTTCTGTCGAAAAACACAAAAAAAATAACAGAAATTAGGTGTAAGATCAAAAAAATTGTTTCTAGAACGAGATGCTTAACGAATAAAATTTCTAGAACGAGATGTTTCTAAATGCTTAACGAATAAAATTAGACAAAAATCATGCGTTAAAAAGTAGTCGCATATTTGTTGTTAATTTATTCAATGAGATTAAAAGTATCAACCAATCAAATCTTTTTAATTTATTCGCAATTATTGCGGCTACTGGTTTGCGAAAATTGAAGGATTATTGGCCAAAAAAATTTTGTGACGAATTGCTTTAATTAGTTCAAACCGGGGATATTTAGTTTTTTCGACTATCGATTTCTAGTTTTGAAAGTGGAATTTACTTTTTAGATTTCCAGAGAATAAAAACTTTACTTATTGATCCAGTTTTCTCAAGTCGGGTTCATGTTATCAAAAAAGCGCCCATCATAAATTGTTCTAGAAATTTAAAGAGCTTAAAGGGCTTCTATTTTTTTCTTTGAGTTTTGAAAGTTGAGATTTTTCAACAACGTCAGTGTTATTTTTTAATGTTTACTTGCGTTCATCTTGTGCTTAATCTTTACCTGCTTTTATTTCTTTAAATTTATGCTCTCAATTGATGTAAATTGTGTTTTTCCTATTTTGAGAGATTAAGGTATAAGTAGTCGATCAAAACTTGAAGATAGCCGCCTATCACAAAAAAAGTTTTAAAAAAAGAAGCTTTCTGGGGGCAACCGCCTAGCGGGCTGTGTGTATGTATGCGTAGCTAAGATTGCTTCCTTCTTCCACGAACGCTACTTGGTTGTCTTCGCGTGTAAAGCTGTTTTTGCCCAAAAAAATTGTATCTTTAAAGATCTTGCAAAAAAAAGATTATCTTTAAAGGAGGTTATCTTGCAAGATCTTGCAAGAATCTTGCAAGATCTTTTAAAGAGATGCATCCTCTTTAAAAGAATCTTGCAAGATTCTTGCAAGATCTTGCAAGATAACCTCCCTTGATCGACTAGGGTAGCTGGTAATTAGCACAGTATGTTCCGAACATTTTCTTAAAAAACAACCAAATAGTTTTTTTTTCAAATTAGTATCGTTTTTCAGCGTGGTGTGATGAAGAAAGATTTGAACAAAAGTTCCTATATTTCTCAATTGATCAGAACAACAAGGACAGCCGGCTGCTGTGCAAAGAGCAAGAATCTTCCGAACATATTCTTATAAAAAATATTTTAGAAATTGTTAATTATATTTCAATTTAGTGTCGTTTTTTTCTGTTCGTGGCGAGATAAATTTCGATAGCCTAGAGCTTAGGAATATTTGACAGTGAGATTAAAAGAGAGAAAGAGAGGACATACTCGTTAATGCCCGAAAAAACTAAATTTGTATAGTCACTATAACAAGGATTTGACTTGATATTATCAATTTCGAGTACTTTGATACGTTCATATTCAGCTGAAACTACTCTATTAAGCTTGGGCGCGAATCAAATATCTTCGAGATGACCCATTTTGTGATTGAGCTTTGTTTTGTTACGTATACTCAAAGAAAAAATCAAAGAGTATTTTATAGAAGTTGTTTCTTACTATGTTTCTTACTAAATTGTTCTTACTATGTTTCTCTGAACAACAAAGTGTTTGTTTTCAGCAACAAATAACTAACTACTTGTAGTTCCTGCGAATCTTATAAAATTATCAGTACGCATTAACCGGTCTGTTTAAGAATGGTCCATTTGTATGATTTTCCATATTCCAGACTGAGTTGTTGGTTGAGCGACGCTCAACTTTCTCTTTTCAAGGGCAGTCCTGTTTTTTTGCTTATAGACTCTCACGTGATCCCTTAATTCAGCCGAAACCGATCAGGATGTTGTGGACCTGAAGTCAAAGTTCAAGTGAGAACTCGTCCTCAAACTCGTCCGCACCCCAGGTCTCCCACTGCAAGCCAGGTATCCCCTTCCCGTTCTCCCACCCCCAGATCCCCTTCCCGTTCCCCCACGCCCATATTCAAACCACGCATCACGTCCACTTGCATCAACCCCACCGTGCCTCCGCCTCCTCCTGATGACAACAGTCCCTCCAACCGCACTCCCAGGTCTCCCCTCACTTCAAGCCAGGTATTCCCCAACACCATTCCCATGTGCCCATGTCTCAGATCCTTCTCGTCGTTCCCCAACCCCCACCCCCCACATTCACCCCCGCACCCATGACGTAACCAACGCGCCACAACCTGACGAAAATAACATTTGATCTTTTTTCAATAATTGCTGTTATTATCAATTCGCTGTTTGGAGGACGTGCTTATACCCTGTTCAATCAAATGCAAATTGAGGTCCAAGGTTCGACCACATTTGTAAAGCTATGGTGGTTCCAAAATTGTCATTTTGGCAAAGTTTGAATGATTGTCTTGCAATATACAGTGTTGCTTTTAAGTATCGGATGAAACACATAAAGTTTGAAATTTCAACGCGTATTTCTCAAATTTGTTGAATTTTGACAAAAATATCGAAGATCAAACTTGCTTAAAATTTTAATAGTACTGATACGGTGCAATTATTTAGCAAACCTCTCTAACACATAAAAACAAATTTTTGTGGCAGTTTTTTTCGTCAATCAGAAATTATGTTAAAGCTATTGGGTCAACTAGTGAAGAACTATGTCAATTTTAACCTTTTACGTAGCTCTGCAAGGGTATAATAGCCAAGAAATTTTATCAAATAAATTATTATTTGAAAGCCAAATATTAGTAATTTTACAATGTAAAACACCATTTTTTGATTTCAAAAAACAGTTTTGTTCATTTTTTGGAAATAAAATCATTCGTAAACTATTTTGAGGTGCTACTTTGGGCGACTTTGATATATTTTGTGAGTAACTGACCCAGTAGTTTTAGCTTAACTTTTGAATAACTAAAAAAGCTACAAATGATCTATTTTTGGGGTAAGTTTTTTCAGCCGGTTTTTCCTTGACTAATTGCACCATATAAGTTTGCTAAAATTTAAGCAAGTTTTGTCAGCGTCTCCTTGCGCCTAAAGTCAACCCAATTTGAGATAAATGCGTTTTAAATTTGAAATTTTAAGCGTTTTGTCCAAATAACCTAAATCAGCACGCTCCTCAGTTTGTCCTATAGAAGCATGCTGTTCGGAAATTGAAATCATTTCAGATTGAATTAAAGAAAAATATTCAAATTCAAATTTTTTCCAATTTTTTTGATTGTTGCATCAATTTTTGTAACTAAAATTTTTTCATAGATTTTGAAGCGCATTCGGAATCTTCACGGCTCGTCCTGATCCGATCAATCTGATTGAATATACAGTGCTGATTTAAATTAACCGGAAAAAACGCGTTAAACTAGAAATGTAACACGCATTTTTCTCAAATTGGGTTGAGTTTAGGTGAAAACTAATGAAGAAAAAACTTGCTTAAAATTTTAGCAGAATTAATATGCTGAAATTTGTTTCGCGAAAATCGGGCCCAAATTTTTACCCCAAAAATGGCCATTTTGGCTTTTCTTAGTTAATCAAAATTACGCCAAAAATACCCTGTCGATCACAGACATAACTATATCAAAGTGAGCCCCTTACGTAGTCTAAAAAACTTTAAGAAGGGTATATTGTCCAAAAAAAATTTGCAAACAGTCTAAAAATTGTTTTTAAATAAAAAGTTGGTTTTTAATATAGTAAAAATGACCTTTCTTGTCTATCAAACAAAAATAAATTAACTTATACAATGTTTTGGAGAATATACTCTTCTTAAAGTTTGTAGGGCTGCGTAAGAAGCTCAATCTGATATAATTATGTCTGTGATCGACCGGGTGTTTTTGGCGTAATTTTTGATTAACTAAGAAAAGCTAAAATGGGCTTTTTCTTAGATTTTTGGGGTAAAAGTTTGGGCCCGATTTTCGCAAAACAAATTACATCATATTAATTTTGCTAAAACTTTAAGCAAGTTTTGTTTGCATAAGTTTTCACCTAAACTCAACCCAATTTGGGGAAAACGCGTTTTAAATTTTTAGCTTAACGCTTTTTGTCCGTCTAATTTAAATCAGCACTGTACTTTTAAAACGGTGGCCAGTCAATAAGCAGAATGGTTTAAGAGCAGAATGGGTCAAAGAGCAGAACAACAGAAAAATATCAAATTTTATAAGGTTACGGGTAAGTTAACTATAAGAATTGTCAATATTACCAATATTACCAAAGAAGCAAAATCTTATGCATAATTTGAATAATTCAACCGAGTTTTTTTTCAAAATTCTGTTTAGAAAAACTTGATAAAATTATTCAATTCATGCATATTTTATTCGATTTCTTAGTAATATTGACGATTAAAATACTTATTTTATCAACTAGCCCGTATTAATCAATAAACGTTAATATTTTTCTGTTTTTCTGCTCTTAGACCCATTCTGCTCTTAGACCCATTCTGCTTTTTGCTCCGCCTCCTTTTAAAACATATGTAGCGGCACAAAAAAATGCAATAATGACATGTATACGTGTGGTATATCACGTTTAAAGTTTTAAATTTCAATCCTCGTTACTTTCAAAAAAAATTTTAAAAACAGATTTGAGGTCACTGATGTTTAATACTCTTTTTATTTTCAAATCATTTTGCAGTTCTCGCACGCTTCATGTATATATAAAAAATACATGTGATTGAAAAATCTTTCTCCGCTATGTATATAATAGATATTGTTTATTATACTTTTTTATTGTACTGGTTGCTTGCTCATCATTTTGCGTACAGCACAAATTTTCAATGCAAAATCAAAGCAACGTGTCTTTTCATATCCTCCAGTTCCATGAACAAAGAAATTTTATCTGTCCAAGTTTCTGAAGTAAAATTGAATTATTTTTGATTTTTGCTAAATAGGTTAATTAGAATAAGAATTGATGCATATTTGTCATAAAACTTTCGATCTGGCTTCGTCTTTTGGTCAAATTTGCCATGAAAGCTATGCCAATCAAGTTTGGGTCTTTGTCTTCTTGGTGGGTTCTCCATTCAGATTCGAGTACGAAGCTTAATTTCAAAAGATTAATCGTAATTTTAAGATTCATTATTGACCATTTACAGATTATACCATTTAAGGGTGAAGATTATGATGACCAAATTAGATTGTGATTCTGACCTTGATTTAGCCATAATTATGAACTATTTTAGTGAAAAGCGGGTCATTCAAAATTACTTCTTTAATTTTAAGGTTTCTTGAGTTTATACGCTTAGAGGGTTGCATTTTGCATTACCATAGTTAGAGGGCAAAATTTCTATTTTACATATATGTGAACCAGTTTAGAGTTCAATTTCAATCATTTCGCTTACCATTTTCTTTTCAACCCTAGAGCGAATAATTACACCATGTATGTGAAACAATTTGATTTATCCCATACAGATTGGAGTTCATGCAAGTCAAACTTGTCATTTTATCGAGGCGCGAGCTTTGCATACTGTTGACCAAAAGTTCAGGCAATACGTATTTATGGTTGTAAATACATGTACCAAAATACCGTGCAATTTTGCAAACCAAGCTATTTGATTTACCTTTGGGAATTTTTATTGAACTGAAACATTAGAATTTAATAATTTTGTTTTTTAGTTTTTTTATAATTTAAATTTTATAGAATTTCGGTTTTTGCTTTTTATATTCGTAGAATTTCATTTTTTAATTATTGCTTGAATTATAAACCTTCATTATTGTTTGAAACTAATTCAAAACTTAAAAAAATTTGAGCCTTCGCTTGATCGCATAATTTTAGTTGTAATTATGTCGGACAAAATTGAATCATTTACCTGTGCAGACCAGTTTAATCAAATTGATTCAAGTTCATTACCAATTAAATATGAAATAAGTCCAGCGAATGATGAACCAAATTGTGAACAAAAGATAAAAGAACGTGACGAAAAATGTCTCCAAAAATCAAGGCGAAGTTTTTTACCTATCGGGTGCGGACTTGCTTTTTACTTTTTACTTGGAGCCACCGAGAAAATGCCTTCTTCTTATTTTTCACCCGAGTCTAGAAAGAGGGGTTTAAGTACCTTCGAAATTGGTCTGTCTCCAGCTGTGGATCACGCGATGAACTTCTTATTTTCTTTTCTACTGATGCTGGCAATCAGAAAAAGGACTGAAAAAATATTTTGCGTACTTGGTAAGTCGAAATCAGACTGTTTAGAATTTCATGAAAAATTTAAGTGTTTTCAAAGCTTTTTGCTGTAATCGTATATTCAATAATCAAGAGAGCCTGTATATACAGATTGTAAAAGGCTAGACTAACCACGCAAATTTGGTATTCAAAATCTGTACCAAAGGTCCGTTGCGAAGATCCGCAGCAACCCTTCAATTCTGGTCGCCAAGTGTTTACAAAAAGAGTCCTCTTTTGTTAGGACAGCCATATTGTGGAACTGAAATTTATCTGTATCTATTGATTTTCCAGGTATGATAATAATCAGTGTGTCATACATCGTTTCCTCTGGGCTGCATTGGATTCAATCTAGAAATGTGTTTCTCTACGTCTCGGTGTGTCTTCACACTTCTATCGGAATCGGCAATGCCATGAGTATGGCCACCACAATACCCATTATAACCAAAGTATCGCTCAGACACGCAGGCACTATCACGTCACTAGCCGAAGCCCTAATCAAGTGAGTATAGTGTAGTCTGGGCCAAATTATTGGTAAAATCTTTTTGGTGGCGTCGCTCAAGATGGAGGAGCCGAATGTTGGACATTCATTTTCAATTATTTTCAGTCAATAAAAATTAAGTATTCAAAAATTTCAAAGATATTGCAAAAATCTCAAAGTAGTCAAAAAAGTTCAGGCCATTAAACCTAATATTGACCGATTATAAAATTAGCAGATTGAAAACACGTGGGTTTTCAAGCACTGCCATATCAAAACAAAACTTGGAAAAAACAGTTTCCACAACACCGATTTAAGAAAACATTGCACTAAATTTAATGAATCTGCACGGACTGTTCATGCTATTTTTCATTTTCTGCTAATTTTTACTTCAATTCAATGCAAAAACCATTCAGCGAATAAGAACTTCTGCTGATTCTGATTGGTTGAATTTTTTCCATCATTCGGTCCCTACATCGTAAGAATAGCTACTACCGTTTCGTTCATAGATTCTGAACGAAATTAATGAATCTAAAAATGCTCCTTTGCCTGTCAGAAATCAATTTTCATTCGTTTCAGCATTTGAAATTTGTCGCAAAAACATAATTGATCTGAAAAGCTCCGTTTTTTGACCAGTTAATTTGATCAATTTTACCGAAAATTGGGCATCATCTATATAATAGGTAGCAAAATGATGGAACCAATAGATTCAATTTGTGCAAGAAATCAGCCCAATTTGAACAATTTGTGCGTGCAAATAAGAGTGTTGCGCAATCTTGGTGTAGGTAAAATAAAATGAAACAGGAGAACTGATATAAAACAGAACTATTGTGATCTAAATTTGCAAAAAATTGAAACAGACAGAAAAAAAATCAAAAGCAATGACTTCGGGTGACCTTGAGAATTTCTTTTCTGTCTGAAAAACAAGCTTTTGCTTGCAAAAATTATCAGAAATAGTTCACCTGCTCGTCTTAATCAAATTTTTCTGTTTTTTTTTGCAACTTTCTGTAAGTTAGGGAAGATAAGACATAGTATAATTAGTAGCAAAAAAATTGTGCAGACAAAGTTAATTGAAATGAGGAGTCACGTTTTTTCGACGTTTTTTTTGCATGCATAATCTGGAGCCAAAAAATTTTGAAGTCGTTGATGTCAAAAACTGAAGACTATGCTAGCGTAATTGTTGAAAACTGCAATGACAACCCGGATTTAACACTTAGCGAAAATAGTTAAAAAATCGAAAGCTACCGCTTTTAAACACAAAAAGACGAATATCCAAATTTTATTTTCAACAGGAAGAATAAGTTAACCCACGCCGAGAAAACAAACGTAACTGAACATGATCAAGTCATTCAAACTTTAAAAATCAACGCAAAAAACGCAAAAAAAAACATTTGCCTTCTTTGGCAACAATTTTTTAATTTCAAAAATTACGATTCGTCGACGTATTCAAAAAGCAGAACTTAGTTTCCGGAAAGCCTCTCGCAAAGTTTTCTCATGTCAAAACAAAGCAAAAAACAAATATCCCATGCAAATCGTCATATAAAATTTAAATGGAGTCATGTTCGTTGGTTTTTGTTTGTCTGTTTTTGTCTTTGTGAAACTTTTCTACTCAGCAAAAAACGCTACTATTATAAGGAAGAAATCTTACTCAAATTTCTGCTCCCTAGAGAGGACATGCTAATTCTTCCGAAAACAACTTTTGGTTTTCAACATGACTGTGCCATACTCCATGCTGCAAATGCGACAAAAACTTATCTACGAGAAAACAATTTTCCTCTTTTCGATTTAATCTTATATAGTTTTGCCCTTAGCTCTTTTGAAAATGTATGGGGAAGAATGAAAAAATAGCTTTCGATTCACAACAAACTCCTGCAGACACTACCCGAAAAGTTCGCAATACTTGACTTTGGTTGCCAAAAAGTAGGTGCAAAATTTTGCCATTAGTGCGCGTAGTCAATTTTGGAATAAGGTTGCCCGGCGTGGTTACAGGTTTTGAGCTGCGACTCTGCTTTATGAGCTTTCGGCGTTATTTTATTTTCAGTTTCATTTTCCGTTGATGTCTAGTCAATTTTTTTTTCTTACTGTCTGGTTGAAGATTTTAAAGTTCTCTAAAAACTTGTTTTTTGGTTGTATAGATAATTGCAAAAAAGCAAAAAATGTCACAAACAATTTTTAATATATCCTATATTAGAAAATTTTTGCACTCAATAATTATTTTTTTTTATCCAGACAAAAATTATGTCTCGAAGTCACCTGAAATTCCATGTTTTCATGCAAATTTGCTCAAAATTGGTATGTTTTTTTTTAGAATAAACTCTGTTCCGCTTTTTGCAAAGATTTGTCAGTTTAAAAAAATGGTTTCAACTATAGCGTATTTTTTCCCTCAAACTCATAGGCTTCTATGAGTTTTAATAGCTCAGTCTTCTATTAAGCTGTTGGTTAGGAGTTTTTAATTATTTTTGACGGAAGTTTTTGAACGTTTAATTTTGCTTAGTTCTAGAGCTGTTCATAGTTTTGTGGATAACTCAAAACTTTAATTAATTTTTTCACATCGAGAAACAAAACGTGTATCAATCACTAAATGAACGGCTCAGATAGTAACATTTCATTTTTTAATTTAAAAAAAAACACAAAAAGCTCAAATAAAAAACTGCAAAATCATGATCAAAGTTAATGAACAAGCAAAAGTATTTTTGAGACAAAACAAAACTCATGTATTTTTTTTCGAAAGTTGATTTCTTTTTTTTGTCACATGTTTTTTTGTAGTTTTTGTTTCGAGATGGCTAATTTGCGTTAGAAGTCTCAACAAAAACGCGGTAAAATTATGTCAGCACAGGCTTGCTTACAAATGTTTACTTAGGCAAAATTAATTTTTGTTTTTGCCCAAAAAAGAAGGGATTTTGAAGATAAATTCAAAATTTTGTCGTTGTTTTTGTTTGACGCAAGTGCTTGCTAATTGGCACACATGGTTATCGCTACGCCACCATTTTCAGCGTCCAATTTTATAGTAGCCTATTTTGAATATTTGGGCTGGATTAACTCTATTATGCCCAGCATAACATTTTTGTAAAAATGTTACGATACATGTAATAGGGTTTCTCGAACCCAGTGCTAAATTTACGCTGCGGAAAAAATGCGAAAGTTTTAAAGTTTGGATCATAATGGGTCATTTTTTGACTGTGTTCAACATGGCAATTTGTGTTCAACTCAAAAAAACTACGTTTTTTTTTACATTCTACGTTTTTAGTCTCGGCTGGCTGATCGGATCCCCCCTCGGAAGTGTAATTTACACTTTATTCGGGATGTACATGCCCCCTCTTCTAGTCGGATCTCTCTTGTTCGTCTGTGGATTCTCAGCCGCGTTCCTCCTTCCAAGCTACATACCAATCAGAAAACTCGACGAAGAATGTCGTAATGATTCAAAAGGAGCTCACGTTGTACAAAACGAGAAAATTCTAGAACGTTTCATGTCGCCAGAATCATTTATGAACAAATCGTACTCTTCGTTGCCAACTTTTGCCGAGCGTACTTCGGATTTTAAAGGACTTGAAAGCGAATCGAAACGAAGTCTTGATGAAGACTCCAAAAAAGTAGAAGAGCGAATGTTTAATTTTGACTCTTTAGCCTATGTTAAGTTTCTTTCGAAGCCAAATCTTCTAATTATCAGCATGTTGAGTATTCTGGTTGCTGTTCAAAGTGCCTTTTTCGACATTTGTCTTCCGCTTTACCTCAAAAGTGCGTTTGAGTTGGACGCAGTGCAAATTGGTCTAGTGTTTTCAGCCTATCTGTTCACGAACGTCGGCATGATTCCTGTTTACGGAATTTCTGTTGACAAGTAAGTTCGACTCATAGGTCTTTTTAAGTCTCAAGGTTTTTTGACAGTGTTTCTGTCTGCTCTTTTTCGTCCTCAAACCCCCCCCCCACCCACCTGCGAATTTTTGCTAGATAGTTCTTTTGTTCACATTGTCCACTTGTTAAAAAATTAAACCTTGCAAACAAATTTATTCTTCATACCTAACCTAATAAAACCACTCGCTTACACCATAAAATGCGCAATAAATTATTTTATTGAGCGAGCAGGCTTAACAATAGCTTAATGATGCTTAATTTCAGCCAATAAAACTTAGTTTCACTCAAGTAAATTTAGTTTTTTTACGCCATTTTGGAAAAAAAAAACTTAGAAATTTTTTTTCCGAAATTCAAAAAAAATTCTGCAAAAAAATTTGAAAAAATGTTTGAATTTTTAAATTATTTTTAAAGATTTTTTCGTTTTTTAGTCATTTTTCTTCAAAATGTTTTCAATTTGCCTTTTTATTATGACTGTCGAATATGCCTAATTTCTGGTTTTTTGTTTTAGAAAAAACCTTATTTAAAATTTTTTAAGACTATGTTCGGAAAATGTTGTGCTACTTCCAAAGTAACCGGCTATCATTGTTTTTAAATTTTATTTTTGTTTTTGGTTTGTGCTTTTTGTGCTTTTTTGGTTGGTATTGAATAACTATAACCAATTTTGAATGTCGTGAAATGATGCCAAGAGGGCGGCGATGAGTGGGTTGAAGTTCTGAAAGAAAAAAGCGTCCATTTACCCCCCCCCCCCCCCCTATTTCTACCGCTGCTTGCAGCAGAACATTGGCGTAGAACATTGCAGCAGAACATTGGCGTAAATTTTAGGTATGAATTTTCAACAAAAAACTAATTATAAAAATTTGAATTAGAATTTGGTTTGTCTAGCAATATTTTAGATCCACAACTGCTCTCAAAAATCTCAAAATTCTCATTAACTTCATCAGTGATTTTTTGAAGGGGCTACGCCATGCACGTGACCTTCATAACCTCATTTGGGTTTGCCTTGAACCTTCTTGCCCTTTATCTGCCCGTGAAAATTCCCCAGCTGAACAATATTCTGTACATCACTGCCTGCTTCACAGCTGTGGGCGTCTTTTCAGCCGGTGCTATTGTATCTTCTTACCTTCTATTCGAGAAAATAGCCCAATATAATGGGTTCAATAACCTGGACCAGACCAAAATTCTTGTTGCAACTTGGGTAAACAATTTGTTTGCTTTGGGTGCTCTGTTTGGATCAACTGTAATATCTGGTCACATTTTCGAAAACTACGGATTCAACTTCAGCTGTCTTTTAATATCTGGCGCGATGTTCGGTTTTCTGGCCGTTTCGGTTTATTTGGCGCACAGAATGAAAATGCTGACAAAGTTGTTTTACGTTGAAGAGAAGCAGAAGAGAATTGGGTCGAGGTGTAAATTAGCCGACACTACATATCAACCGATACAAGCTACAATGCATTACAACTAAGCAGAGATTTACTATACGCAGATTTGTAAACCTATCTAAGAAAAACTAAAGTATACATTTTGTAGAAGAGAATTATATCCTAGTCTAGAATTTGAAAAAAAATCAATGTCCGCATGTTTTTGAAAAAATTCAAAAAAAGTAATAATAGTTTGGGTTAGTTGAAAACCAAAACAGATTTATTTTGGGAAAGTTTCTTTACAAAATTAAAGATTTCTTAAATGAAAAAGAAAAAAACTAACGGGAAAATGAATGAATGTAATTTTTACTACTTTTGATATTTGAGTGTTTGACAATTTCTGCTAGTTCTCAGTGGACACTAAGCGAAATCCCAAATAGGATCAGGGGCGGATTTAGGAGGGAGGCGGGGGGTGGGCGGACGCTCCTTCCCTTAGGGATTCGACCGCCTGCCGACCCAAAGGGTCCCCCCTTTGGTACTTTTTAAGAAATCCATTTTTGGCTGACCGACAGAAAAAAGGTTTTCTAAAAACCCCTTCGGCGCCAATATATACTAGAGGGAGCGCACGCCAAAAACCGCGATTTTTTGTCAAAATTTATCAAAAAGTGCCCAAAAACGGCTTTTTTGACCTGTTTTTTCAACAAATTGCCTGCGGCGAAGAATATTTGGCCAAAACAGAGTCCTTTTTAGTGCTGTAGGAGAGCTCGGAAAGTCAATTTGGTCTACCTAAAAAAAGGTCGTCAAAATTTTCGAAAATTTTTCTGAAAATCCGCCCCCCCCCTCGAGAAAATCCTAGATCCGCCCCTGCATAGTATACTGGTTGAGTACCTTCAAATCAAGTAAAACATGCAGAAAATGCTCGAGTGCATGAAATTTAGGATATCATGGTTTTACTTGCGACTTTTGAACACCTTTGCAAAGAGGATAGACAAAGCGTGTAACTTGAATTAAGTCGATTGTGCAATTAACGAGATTTTTTCTTACCGCTAATTAATATGACTTTCAAATTTACGAAAAAAAAACAAAAATTTAGAAGTTTGCTGAAGATACATATATAAAACGCCCTCAGCAAAATTCCATTTGATCAAGTACAGGGGCGAATCTAGGAATTTCTCGAGCGGGGGGGGGGGGGGGGGGCGGATTTTCAAAAAAAATCGAAAATTTTGTCGATCTTTTTTTTTAGCTTGACCAAATTGATTTCTGAGGTCTCCCAAATCACTATAAAAGACCTCATTTTGAGCAAGAGCAAATTTTATGCGCCGCAGCGAAATATATAAAAAAACAGACCGAAAAAAGACGTTTTTAGGAATTTTTGATTTAAAAAATTTGACTCCTGCTCAAAATTTTGACTCCTGCTTAAACAGTTGCCATTCACGTACGTTTTTTTCATAATTTTATTTTCCTGCATTTTTGTTGAATGAAAAATTAGTTGTTTCCTTTTAAGAAAAAATTTAAAATTTATTTAAAAGGCCTGGTTTTTTTTGGTTAGCAGAAATTTTTTTTTGGAAGATTCCCCTTTAAATTTGTTGAAAAATTGGTGAATTGTCTGTCGACTATTCAAACCCGCAGTTTTGTCAAAAAAAGTTTTTTTTAAACATGAAAGTTTGTTCATGCCTGCATGTTTTGTCAGAAAAATTTTTCAGTGGGACGTCACGTTCGATAAAAAAACACGATAATTGTGACTGGTTTAATGTTTTGTCCGAGCAGTTTTGACAATTAATTAACAGTTTTTGGAAAAACTTTCAAATTATATTCTTGCTAACATTGACTCGAAACAAAAAAAAAGAAAATTTGCTGGTGTTTAAAAATTTTATAAAATAAAGTAGCGCAGATTTGTAGCTACAATTTAAAATAAGGCACGTGAATTGCTCCAATTATTGAATTTATGGACCCAGTTCTTATCGCTTTTTGAAATATATAACACTTTTTAAATAAAAGATACATCAAAATTTTACGGACTTTCAAAACATTGAAATATTTTTCCTGACGCGCGCAGTGTTTTTGAATTTTCGTATGGGCCCGGCTCTGAAATACTAATTGATTCATTCGTAAAATGACTCATGACAATTAACCTCAAAAAAGGAATTACACATAAAAATTTATGCCATATGAAAGCTCCTGGAATTTTTTGTCTTTTTTATAAATTGAATCATGTATTATGAAGAGTGAATGTTTCTCTAAAAGTGAGAGTTTTTCTCTAAAAGGAAGAACTTTTCTCTAAAAGCTTGATTTTTTCTCTAAAGAGTTACGTGTGTTTCACAAAGGATGAGTTTTTTCTAAAAATAGAATTTTTTCTCTATTTTTTTCAAAATTGAACACCACACATCACATGTGGTCTATGGACGGAATAACAAAAACTTTCATCTTCATGGTATGTGATCTAAGTTTCAGTGTAAAATTAACCAATTAAAAACAAGTCTGAGCTTTGAAACTAACGTAAAGCTTTTCACCGCACTTACCAATTTTTCATGCAAAATCTCGTATCACACATGTATATCAGGTGGAGTGATATAAAATATTGAAACCTTTTAATTTAGAGTCATCTAATCTATTTTTCGAAAAAAATTTGCTCAAATAGTTTCCTAGTTTAAATGTTATGCACAGGCCTTCATCATTCAGTCACCAATGATCAATACCCATTCAATAGGCAGTGTCATAAAAAACTAGTATTTCAGGAGACGGGAAAAATGACTTGAGAACTTGGCTCTTCTGAATAAATTAGGATGAATTATATAGGATTTAGATCTGCAGAAAAACAATAATTTTATCTCATCTGCATTACATTAAAAGAATCTTCTCCAACTCTTCCCTCACAACTAAGATTTAGAAAAGCAAAATTTAAAGATTTAAAGATTAAGTAATTTTAAAAGTTTTTAGAGCTTTTGAAGAAGCTCAGAGTTTTGTGAAAGTTTGGAAAGATTACCAAATTTGAAACAAACAAAAATCAGAAAATTTATAGATTAACCCAAGCACAAAATTCTGAAAAAGATTGTTTTTGTCTAATTTCAGTCAAACTTCACAAATCCTGGGCCAAACATTCAAACGAAGTCAATTTTTCGTCTTTTGTTCAAGTGAATCGGAATGTTTTTTTTTCAGCACAAGCCGGTTGAAGCAAAGTAACTTTGGTTTGATCAAAAACTGAACATACTTTTTGTGGCTTAAAGGTTCCTTCGAAAAAGTTTGTGAATCACCACATTTGAAAACTTTTCAACTTTTCTATAATTGGCAGGAAAAAAATGACGGAAAAAAAGTTAATCTAGTAGCTTCAAACTTATTTTTCTCTTCGTTGGTAAAAAAAAGTCAGTCCATCTCGAACTACCTCTGTTGATGATATTTCCTGTTTAAAAAAACTACGAAAATTTCAATGAAAATTCATTTTTCCAATCAAAAAAATGTTAGCGCAAATTGATTAGGAAAAAATTAGGTTTTTTTTAATGCCACCCCTTCTGTTCCGTTGTGTGTTTTGGCCAGAACGGTGGTATGTTAATGGATTTTTTGATCATGTGCTGGCTGCGCCTCGTTATAATGAAATCTTGTCATCCGTATATATCTATTATGTAAGTAGTTTCCACTCGACGCCGCGAGTTTTAATTATGTCAAATTGTTGAATAGAAGTTCATAAAAAGGTCTACATAAGATTTATATACTTATCTATCCGGATGCATAACACTCTTTTATCTATCAGCATTTTTTTTTCTGTTCTAATTTTCTGTTACAAAATTGGCGTGTTAGTGTATGACAAACATGTTTTTTTTTCATACAAAAAAAATTTAAAAGAAGAAGAAGAAGAAGAAGAAGACCTTAATTAATCCGAAATCTATCTAGTTTTCATAAACAAAATGAAACGTTGGGAAGAAAGCTGCTGAAAAGTTACGCATAAATTTCGAGATATCTGTCTGGAAAAAACCGTCTGTATTTTCCATGAGTAACCACAGATAATGGCGGCATTCTTTTGCGGAGTGTCGTTTGCGCAAAACAAGAGCGCTCTGAAATGAGTTTTGTCAGCACGTGTTCAGACTGGGTTGAAATAATCTCGAAAAAACAAGCATCTCTTTCTTGTGGTATGGTCTTCATTGTTTTGAAATCCTCCAAGATGCCCAATTGCGCAGCTTTTCTCTGAACACTGTCCAACTTGTTCAGTTGTGCTTGACTCATTCCATCCCAAACGCTCACGAAATAGGTCAAAACAGACAGAAACAGCAACTTGTATAGTAGTTCGAGTTCTTTTTTCTCATAACCTAGACATTTGAGCTTATACAAGAGATAGAGGTTCTGTGACGCGCGGTTTCGAACTGACTCAACGTGACTAGCAAAGTTGAGTTTAGGATCAAACGTCACACTTAAGATTTTCCGGCTGGATTCTATCTGTTTTCTAATATCGATTTCATCTGGTCTCCCATGGTAAATCATCATGAACTTAGTTTTATTTACATTCAAGAGAAAATTGTTTCTCTCACACCAATCGTTTATGTGTTTTACAATCTCTTCGATAGTTTTTTTCACATGTTCATCTACGGGTATGAGAACATTTCCGTCGTCAGCAGAATTTGACAGGCTTCCGTTAATAGTTTCAGGTAGCTGCAAAGCATCGTAGACAATGTTGAAGAGCACCGGCCACAAAACAGTTCCTTGTGGCACTCCGCAGTTGGTACTAATAATTCTCGATCTGTGGCGCCGATGTTCTACAAAATATTGGCGGTTGTAGAGAAAGCTGGCTATGAAGTTGAGACGATACGCGTCGTAGCCCAAATCATGCATTGCCTTGATTATTTGATCGTGATGCACTCTGTCAAAAGCTTTACTAAGGTCCATTGACATTAGCACAGTTGTTTTGATTTCATCGCGTCGTGGTCTCTACAAGAATTGAGCACTTGAACGAGAGCGCACTCTTTAGATGAGTTTTCTCGAAAACCGAACTGATTTGTTCGTAGTTAGGAGTTATACTTTCTTGATATGAACAAATCGTAAACGAGTCTCTCAAAAACTCTACTGATAGCACGGGGCGGAACTGGCCAGGTAGCTTCGGATTTGTGACTTTCAGAATTGGAATGACACGTGAGAATTTGAAAATATCTGGGATTGTCATTGTGGAAAGGCTGATGTTGAAAACATGTTGAACGG